CGGGTCTGGGGGCTGCCATCTGCCCACCCCGGGCCCTGGGGGCTGCCGTCTGCCCACCCCGGGCCCTGGGGGCTGCCGTCCACCCATCCCAGGCCCTAGGGGCTGCCGTCCACCCACCCCGGGTCCTGGGGGCTGCCGTCTGCCCACCCCGGGTCTGGGGGCTGCCATCTGCCCACCCCGGGCCCTGGGGGCTGCCGTCCACCCATCCCAGGCCCTAGGGGCTGCCATCCACCCACCCCGGGTCCTGGGGGCTGCCATCCACCCATCCCGGGCCCTGGGGGCTGCCGTCCGCCCACCCCGGGTCCTGGGGGCTGCCATCCACCCACCCCGGGTCCTGGGGGCTGCCGTCCATCCATCCTGGGCCCTGGGGGCTACCGTCCACCCACCCCGGGTCCTGGGGGCTGCCATCCACCCACCCCGGGTCTGGGGGCTGCCGTCCATCCATCCCGGGCCCTGGGGGCTGCCATCCACCCATCCCGGGCCCTGGGGGCTGCCATCCGCCCACCCCGGGTCCTGGGGGCTGCCATCCACCCACCCCGGGTCCTGGGGGCTGCCGTCCGCCCACCCCGGGCCCTGGGGGCTGCCATCTACCCACCCCGGGCCCTGGGGGCTGCCGTCCATCCATCCCGGGCCCTGGGGGCTGCCATCTGCCCACCCCGGGTCCTGGGGGCTGCCATCCACCCACCCCGGGTCCTGGGGGCTGCCGTCCACCTACCCCGGGCCCTGGGGGCTGCCATCCACCCACCCCGGGCCCTGGGGGCTGCCGTCCGCCCACCCCGGGCCCTGGGGGCTGCCATCCACCCACCCCGGGTCCTGGGGGCTGCCGTCCGCCCACCCCGGGCCCTGGGGGCTGCCATCTACCCATCTGAGCTCCCCACCACTGTGGGCTTTCCCCAGGATCCAGGGGGTGTGGACAGCCAGTGAGTTGACTGGAGTCAGGAGGCTGATCAGAGACAAACGAGCCCTTCCTTCTTTGTACAACTCAACCCATCTTTGTCACTTGCCCCCAGAAAGTGTTTTCGCAAGGGTAGCTTGCGCAGCTGTCCTCGGAGCCACTTGCTGGCTGCTTGTGTCCCCTTCCCTGGTTTTGAGTGCCTCGGGACTGTCTGAGCTGTGGTTTACAGTGGCGCGGGCCATGTGACATGTGGGGCGGTTGTGGCCACCTGACCTGAGTTCAGGGGGTCCCAGGGCCCCCGTGGCTGAGACCGGTTCTGTTAGGGTGAGGTGCGTGGAACACATGGTGCCCCCCCACCCCCAGTCATCTTCCTGTGAAGCCCTTGTCAGCTAGCGTGGCTCCCTGGGCCCAGACCCTCTCCTCTGCCTCTGTGGTGCTGCTGCTGAGGACGCGGCCGCTGGGCCTCATCTTACCCGGTGCCGTCTCTGACGGGCACGTGTGGCACGGATTCGAGCTGCTGGTGTCCGGCCGTGAGGTGCACAGGGTTAGGACTCTGGCTGCTCGTAGGCCTAGCGGCGCCCCAGTCCTGCTGGCTTAGCCCTCCCACCAGTCCCATGAGGGGCCACCCCGGCGGCGGCGTGAAAGTCCTGGAGAGGCGGGCCTGGGGACGGCTCCTGGGCTGTCCGCTGCTCGGGCCAGGCTGAGGGTCACCCGTGTGCCTTTCAGGAGCTGGTGACTGCCTGGTACATCGGCTTCCTTTGCCTCATCCTAGCCTCGTTTCTGGTGTACCTGGCAGAGAAGGGGGAGAACGACCACTTTGACACCTACGCAGACGCACTCTGGTGGGGCCTGGTAAGTCCTCCTCTGCGGCCCTCCACGCACCCAGAGCCACCTCCTGCCTCCTGCTGCTCTGCTGTGGGGCTGGGGCTCTTGTCTCCCGGAGATGCCTGCTGGCGGCCTGGCACGATCATGTCCTGCTGTGGGTGGACGCTGGCATCTTCTCACCCGTCACTGAGGCCTGTGGAGCCCTCTGGCTCACCCGGGTAGGGGAGGAGAAAGTGCAGGAGGTGGAGGCTGAGCACAGTGGGAAGAGGGAGCTGCGAGTTGAGCCTCAAGGGGCCAGACTCTCCTGGCCTTGCGGCGGTTTCTGGAGTCCTGGTCCTCAGGTCTTGGCCTCCCTGCTCCTGGCTCCCACCCCTGTCCTGCCCACCGCAGTGAGAGAGGAGAGAGCGAGGATGAAGGGGCGCCACACTCTGGGCTCAGCCTCTGAGGCTGACCCGGTCTGTCGTGGCAGAGCTCCTCGGTGGGCTCCCTGCTGCCCCGTGCCACAGCCGCCTGTACCCTGTGCATCGCTCGCCCTCTGGGTCTGCGGCCTGCTCCTGAGGCCACTTCTGGACTCCAGTTGGGGGCTGGCACTCTGAGTGGCCCTTGCCGGGTACTCCGGTCCCCGATCCCAGCCTGAGCGTGCTGGCCCAGGTGCTGTGGCGGTTGGCCAGCCAGGCGCTGTGTAGCTGGAGCCACTGGGAAGCAGGGCGGCTTCCCCAGGGAGGAGGCCACCGTGCCCTGTGTTTGTGCTGACAGTTAATCATTGTGAGGTCTGACAGAGGATGGAGTGGGCTGCCAGGGGTGAGGCCGGCGCTAAGGCTCACCTCAAGGGCACTTCCTGTGACAACTGAAAGCCAGCCGGAGCCCGGGCCCGGCCCGCACGGGAGTGCACAGCCCCGGCTTGCACCCGCCCACCCCAGCCACCCGAGACCCTCCCACAGGAAGCTCCCGGGCCCACTCCCTGCTCACAGCCAGGAGACCTCCCACGGCAGGCCATCGGGCAAGGGCCGTGGGGGTGTCGGAGTGCTGTGAGGCCCCCTGCTGCCTTACTCATGGTCAGGCGGTGGCAGAGACTCCAGCGTGTCCCCCGCCTTCTCTTCCCTCAGGCAGGGTTCTGTGATCACCCAAGGAGGCTTGGCGGCCCCTCCTTGAGGAAATTATGCCCCCAAATACCAGGACGCAGGCTAGCCTTTCCTTCTAGCACCTTCTCGTGGAGCCGCTCACCTCCTGGCAGCCACCACTGGACTGGGCCTGGCCCGCTCTCTTTTCTGGCCTCCGCAGCCTCTAGCCGGCCCACGACTCTGTCAGGTTCCTCACACATTTCCTCTGCTCTGACCAGGCTTGCTCAGGGCTTCCTGCACCCGCCTCCCCGCCCCAGAGCCATCCAGGGCCGCGGGCCAGCTGCCTACAGCGCATAGATGCCTCTGTGCTCTGCACCGGAGAAAATGGGGAGCAGAGAATTTGGGGGGCTGCCCTTCCAGCGCAGCCGGCACAGATGCTGAGCTTGCTTCGTCCTAGTGGGGGTGTTGTAGGAGAGGCGGGCAGTTCTGCGGCTGTGCAGCCCAGCCCCACGGGTTCATGAGAGGTGTCGCTGGAGCTCGGGGTATCCGATGACCCGCACCCTCTGCCCCCCAGATCACCCTGACGACCATTGGCTACGGGGACAAGTACCCTCAGACCTGGAACGGGCGGCTCCTGGCGGCGACCTTCACCCTCATTGGCGTCTCTTTCTTCGCTCTGCCTGCCGTAAGCCCAGGGCCTCATCTTGCCTTGGGGGGAGACGGGGTTTCACACACACTCCGTGATTCACCCCGCCGATGTGGGGCCTGGGACGGAGTTCACGACCCAGACGTGGCCCGGCGGCCCTGCTTCCCCAGCGCCCCTTGGTCCAGTGGCCTCTCCAGCAGATGAAGTTCTGTCAGGGCCCTGAGACCAAGGCTGCCCGGAGGGAGAGGAAGCCTGCGGACGTGGGCCACGGCAGCATCTGGTGGCTGGCCTGGGTGCCTGTGGCAGAGCAGGGAAGGGGACTCCCTCGTGGGTTCATTGTGGGTACTGCTGTGCTTCCTGCTGGCCTGAGCCTTCTTGGGGTCCCTGGTGCTGAGGGACTGGGGGGTGGGGGGCAGAGCTTGCAAAGCCGGGTTGTGCGGACCAGCATGCCAGGGGCACAGCAGCTCCCTGGACCTGGCCTCACCTCCACGACTTGCAGGGCATTCTGGGGTCTGGCTTTGCCCTGAAAGTCCAGGAGCAGCACCGGCAGAAGCACTTCGAGAAGCGGCGGAACCCAGCGGCCGGCCTCATCCAGGTCAGTCATGGCCCAAATGACCGTGCAGCACCACCCCGCCCAGAAGCAGGGCCTGCCGCGGCCCTGGCCTGAGGCTGGCGTCTCCAGGTTTCTTCCTGGCTGGGGCCTGGGCCCTGGCCCTGTTCCCCTGCAGGAGCTTGTCCAGGCCCAGTCACGGGCAGGCAGGTCAGTGCAGAAGAGGTACAGATGCCCCAGGTGGTGGTGCTGGGTGGTCCTGTCCCCAGCGGGTGTTCAGCCACCCAGGCCGCCTCCCAGCACCCTGGGAGGTGGATCCCTTCCACACCTGTTGTACAGTTGTGGGGTTTGAGGTTCGTGTCTTTGCTCCAGTAGTGAGTAGCACCTGAGATCTTGCTGTGGTCCCACGCTTCAGCTGTGATCCCTGCCCCATCCTGCCGGAGTGCAGGCAGCCAACTCCAGCTGGGAGGCAGGAAGGGTGCAGAGGCCCCTTGAGCTGAGAGTTGTCTCCAGGCTCTCTGGTTGTCCGGGACCAGCTTTCTTTTAAAAGTTGTCGTGCTCGTGGTCTTGGCCTTGGGTGCCTACATTTCTCTTTCACTGTCACCAAATGGTTGTTTGCTAGTTGTGAAAGAGGATGAAGAACAGAACTACTCGCAATCTCACCCTGCTATTGAGAATGGAAAAAAAAAAAAAGACTGTAAATGCTTGTGGCTAAAGGTTTAAGCAGGGAATGAGAAACCCCACATAGCCACCATGAACCTCCTCTCTGCGATGACCCAGAGGCCTGCAGGTCTAGAGACCAGCTGTGCCACTGAGGCTGGGCACCGGGGCTGTTCCCGGAGCATCAAGGGCATCTCTAGTGTGGCTCTGATGGGCAGGTAGGGGTGCAGTCTCTGCGGGAGAGAAGCAGATAGGAGCTGAGCTTCCTGTGAGGCTGGGTGCTGAAGTTTTAGTTATAGGAACCAGCTGTTTTCTGAGGGCCTGTGACCTGCGTATGGTTCTGATTCCCAAGGAAGGACAGACCCATGGGGCAGCCCCAGGGGTCCTGCGAGCCTGCAGGTTGTGGTGATGGCTGCGATGATGATTTTAGGTGATGTGTAGACAACAGAAGCCCAGACCAGCTAAGTGGCAGGCTCCGGGCCCGTCTGGTCAGGACCGCCTGCCATGCCCCACCCCTCCCTGCCCCGTGTCAGGGCGGTGTGCCTCTAGGGTTAGAGAGGGCTCTGAGGCCTCTCTAATGTCAGGTGGGGAATGCTCTCCACTGTGAGCCAGGCCCAAGCCCTTGAGACCCTCTCTTCACACCAGTGTTGGTGGTACTTTGTTCTTCTAAGGGTAAACTGAGGCTGTGGTATGAGGATGGGTGTGAGGATGCAGCTTCCTAGAGCCTCTGCTGCCTGATGGGGTGGGGGGGGGTCCTTGTCCAGCTGAGCCATGCTGACCGCCTGTCTTCCCCTGCAGTCTGCCTGGAGGTTCTATGCCACCAACCTGTCTCGCACAGACCTGCACTCCACATGGCAGTATTACGAACGCACGGTCACCGTCCCCATGTACAGGTACCGCTGCCCACGCTGGCACCATGCTTTGCTTTTTAATTTTGTCAACTGTTTAATTTGATGTGAAAGCCCATTTTGTTATGTTGATTGATTTTTTTTTGTTAAAACGTATGTCTTTTTCAAAAAAGAATTCAGTGTGGTTTCTTTCACAGTATTGGTTTTGTTCTTTGATTTGTAGTGTGTGGCTTTTGTTTCTCACCCCCATTTCTTGTCCTTTGCTGTGTGTGTTGTGAGGGGACAGGAGGCAGGCCTCTCCCAGAGGACCTTAGGTCTGAGCACTAGATCCTTCTGGCACTGTGCCCTGCAGGAACAGGTATCCCACAGTGTGAGGCCGAAGGCCCTGTCCTCAGCAGGGGCTGGGGCTGCCCAGGGGTGAGGCTAGCTACAGTGAAGATCAGCCAGGGCCAGAACTCCACTGTCCAGAGAGTCAGCCAGGGCCAGAACCCCACTGTCTAGTGAGGGGCAGCCAGGGCCAGGAACCTCTCTGTCCAGTGAGGGTCATCCCAGGGTCAGGAACCCCTCTGTCCAGAGAGAGTCAGCCAGGACCAGAACTCCACTGTCCAGAGAGGGTCAGCCCAGGGCCAGGAACCCCCTTGTCCAGCAAGGGTCAGCCAGGGCCAGAACTCCACTGTCCAGAGAGGGTCAGCCAGAACCAGGATCCCACTGTCCAGTGAAGGTCAGCCCAGGACCAGGAGCCACCTTGTCCAGCAAGGGTCAGCCCAGGGTCAGAACCCCATTGTCCAGTGATGGTCAGCCAGGGCCAGGACCTCCCCTGTCCAGTGAGGGTCAGCTCAGGCTGGAATGCCACTGTCCAGTGAGGGTCAGCCAGAACCAGGACCCTACTGTCCAGCAAGGGTCAGCCAGGGCCGGGAACCCCACTGTCCAGCGAGGGTCAGCCCAGGGCCAGGAACCCCTCTGTGCAGTGAGGGTCAGCCCAGGGCCACTGTCTGGGGATCCTAAGGGACTCTAGGACAGAGCCTTGGACACCAGCAAGAAGAGAGCCTCCTCAGGCATGGGGGGCAGCCTCCATGGGCCCTGTGGGCCAGCGGGGCAAAGGAGGCAACGCTCACCGAGCTGCGAATGCTGGACTATGCTTAGACTAGGTACTGAGGCCTGAGTGCTGGGCACAGAGCCCCTCTGGGTGGCTACCTCCTGACGGCTGTCCCTGCACTAGGTGAGCGAGAGGCTGAGGCAGGCCAAGCTTCCTCCCCCGTCTACCAGAGGGCAGACTGTCCCCCAGCGCCGTGCCGGGCCCTGCTGTCCCTTAGTCTACTCCCACACCAGGGTGCCCAGCGCTGTGCCTGGCTGTCCCTCAGGACACTCCCACACCAGTGTGCCCAGCGCCGTGCCCCCAGCCAGGCCGCAGCCCAGGATGGAGCCTTGTGCTAATTTTCTTTGTTCTTTGTTTCCCCCACTTCCCTTGACTATTTTCTCTTTCATTTTCATTTTTCTTATCCCGTTCTTTAAACCATTTTGGTTCTTCTCTCTCTGTGTGTGCGTGTGTGTGAAAACACTTGAAAGCTCGCAAACTCAAACCTACGGGGCCTCCAGGTAGGACATGCATGGGACTAAAGCCATGTGTGTGTGCGTGCGCGTGCGCGCGGGTGTGCGCGTGGTTCTTGTTTCCGTGGGGCTGAGAGGGCTAGGCCTTGGGAGTCTCATGGTCTACCAGCTCCAAAGCACCAACCCTGTGGTCCTCATGCTGGGTACTCTGTGCCCCCCTGCCTGGGCCCACGAACCCACTTTCTCCCCCTGACCCAGTGTGAGCTCCCCTCCCTTGCTCTGCTCTGCTTTCCTGTTGCGGATCCCCGTCCTCAGTCTGTCTGCTTTCCTTGGCCTGCTTCCGCCTTGTTTTAGAGCTGAAGCCTCCTCACCCTGCCTCCTTTCCCACCCCTGGCCACACAAATGACGGAGCAGTTTGTTGGCTGTGGGGCTTGCCGTGTTCCTGGGGGACCTGCGTCCAGGGCAGGAGTAGATCCTGGGTGAGAATTCCCCGACCAGCATGGCCGCCCTCACGAAGGGCCTGCTCGGATGGTCTGCCTCCGGAGTCTCTCCCGGCTTGCGTCCCCCAGCCTGCTGCCTTAGGAGCCATCCAGGCCTCAGGGGCAGAGCAGCGAGAGCAGCTACATGCCCGTCCTGGGTAATGTACCTGCTCCAGTGCCTTCCTCCCTGTTCTAGAGAGTGCCCACCCAGGTGGCCAGGGCGTGGAGATTGGAAGCGGAGCCCTTGGCTCGGTGGGGCTGCTGAGCTGCTCAGGGAGTGGCGGCCCTGTCCCAGTGAGCCCTGGCCAGTGCAGGAGGCTCCCTTCCAGCCTGTCTCCAGGATGGAGGGGCTGTGAACGGCAGCTGTCCGTCAGGCCTGGGGGGGTCTGTGCCTCCCTGGATCCCCCACGGTGGAGGCCAAGCTGCAGTGTCTTCCTCCCAGGTCCCACAGCTCTCCGCTCCCTGTGGGTGGGGTTGGCATTGCACCCTCACAGGCCCTCCTAGACACGGGGGCTTCTTTTGCCCATCTTTGCCAGGCAAGCTGGAGAAAGAAATCAGAGGTCCCTCCC